TGGCCTGATGACACTATTAGATTAAGCCACTCATTGTTCCTTTGGGGGGAGAGTAAGCAAAGATGGTGCAGAAAGGATAATGTAGTTCGAACCTTCAGGGACTCTACAAGTCTCCTTTCTTCTCTGGACTCTCCATTTTTCTTTCTTTCTTTCTTTCTTTCTTTCTTTTTTTTTTTTTTTTTTATGGTGAAAAAGTGTCTATTTAGAATTAGCCAGCTGGACTCAGTTTAGATGATCCCAATTTTGTTGGCAATATCCAAAGCATCATAATCTGGAGCTAGTCTCACATATGCCTTCTCTCCGTCAGGCCTGATTAGAGTGTTGACTTTGGCCACATCAATATCATAGAGCTTCTTCACAGCCTGTTTGATCTGGTGCTTGCTGGCCTTGACATCCACAATGAATGCAAGTGTGTCATTGTCCTCTTATCTTCTTCATAGCAGACTTGGTTGTCAGGAGGAACCTGACGATGGCATAGTGGTCCAGCTCGTTTCTCCGAGGATATTTGGGCTGCCTCTGCAGCTGAAGAGTCTTGGGCCTCTGGAAGGTGGGTGATGTATGGATCTATTGTGTGTGTGTGTGTGTGTGTGTGTGTGTGTGTGTGTGTGTGTGTGACTGTGGATGCCTTTCAGCACTGCCTTCTTGGCCTTCGAAGCCTTTGCTTTAGCTTCAGCTTTGGGAGGGGCAGGAGCTTCCTTCTTTGCTTTTGGCACCATCTTGGCAAAAAGCTGGCTCTCCTTTTTTTCTAGGGCGAGTCATCCCCCTTTGGGTTCTGATCCTCCTTCCTCTGATCATAGCACTTTATCTTGGTTCTCCCATACTAGCCTTTATATCCTATCTCCAGGAGTTGGCATGTTGTTCAGAATGGACCAAGGTCCATCTCTTGACTTTCTGGATTGAATTCTAATATTCTGTTCTGTCTTCCTCAGGTAATGCCATCTCCAAAGTCCCTTTTCTTTCTCAGGGACTTTGTTCAAACTGCCCCTCACCTCCCACCATATGATGCTTTTTTCTCTATCATCACATTTGATTAGCCTTTATCTCCCTTTAGACTTCAAGTTAAGTATGACTTTCTCAACTTAGATGTACTTTCTCAGAGAAGTCTTTCTTAGTCATACTATTTAAATTAGGACTCATTGTAATTCTCCATCTCAGCTTCTTCTCTGTTTTGCAACAAAGAGTAATGATCACTATGTTTTTTGTGACCACCCCCCATGGGGTATGTGTGGAATTTGCTGCTTTCCTCACTTTTCTTCTACCCTCTCTTCACCCTTCACCTCTGTGGGCTCACACACCCTCTAGCAAATTAAAAAATAAGAATAAAAAAGTTACCAGATACAAATATTCTAGCTTCTGATTTAATTGAGGTTTTTTTTTTAACTGTATGAATAAACATTACGGTATGTATATTGAGGTATCGGGAATTTGAAGAGACAGATATGTTCCCATAAAGTGCTACAATAGCTACAGGAGTAGGAGACCTCTTACGCTTCTCCATCCAAAAGTTGTTTTGAGCCATAAAACTTTCCTGTTGTAGATTTAAAATCCTCTGTCTCTCTTATCCATTGTCTTCCCAGCCCATGTACCTTGCGTTCATAGGTTTATCTGACTTCTGAACTTGATTTCTAAGAGAAACAAAGGACATAAAAAAGTGCATTCATTTTCTATTGATGCTATAAACATAATAATTTATAATGACATCCATTTATTATTATTATTATTTTTATTTATTTATTTATTTTTTTAATAGATCTGAAGTGTGGTGGGCTTGCCAGGTTTTTCTGCTCCATGTCTCACAAGGCTAAATTTAGGTTGGCCGTTGTTGCTCATCATATTGAGATGTTTTGGGAAAAATCCACTTCCAAATTCATTCAGGTTCAGTTCTATGCTGTTGTAGGACTGAGGGCCCTATTTTCTTTCTGATATTTAGTGTTATTCTCAGCTTTCAGAGACCACTTACATTCTTTGGCATATAGTCCCCTCCTCCTATCTTTAAAGCAGGCAATAGTAGATTGATCGTTCCTAAAAAACATGTCTCTCTGATCTCTTCTTCTGTCCCTTATTCCCTGTTTCTCTGTTCTCATTTCTCTTCTCATCTCTTTGACAGATCACCATGTTTTAAATGTAGACTGATACAAGAAAAGAAAAGGATTAGGCATGAGTAGATGGCATATGGTTATGAAACTGGACTCCCCACATAGCCAACTGAGGTTTGAGTCCTCAACCTGGAGACTTAAAATTCATGCTGGGTAGGACCAGCAGATGGCATAATGGCTACGATGCAGGACTCCCATGTAGCCAACCATGGTTTGAGTCCCGGACCAGATATCTTAAACTCACGCCAGCTGCGTGTGCGTGTGTACCCAAGATCCCAAGAGGAGAATGGAAAAGGGATTGCGGCATGACCATCTCTCCTGGGGGATGATTTCTCGCTTTCTGTCTCTCTGACTCTCTCTGTCTTTCTGGCAAGCACATGTGCCCTATAGCAAAAACCTCTCTCTAAAACAAAACAAAACAAAACAAAAACAAGAAAAAAAAAAACAAGAAAAACTCATGTGTGCATGCATGCCCAAAATCCTGAGAGGAAGAGAAAGGATTGTGGTGTGGCCATTTGCCCTTGGAGGTGGTGATTTCTTCCTGTTTCTCTTTTTCTGTCTCTTTAGTGAGTGCATGCACCCTATAGCACAAATCTCTCTCTCTAAAATTTTTTTTTAAAAATTAAAAATAAAAAGATTAAATAATTTACTTTGGCCAAAATATTCTCTGTGATTTTTAACTCATTTAATACTCTCTCACATAAGGTATCTTTTACAATCTTCCAGATGCAACTTATCCCCATTAAAAAAAATCCGTTGCTAAAACTTCATGGGCCTAGTAAGTACTCAGGATGCAATGGGTCTCCTGCAGGCCTTCATTTTTTCCGGTGCAGGTTGCCAGTTATATGAATATAGGTCTAAGGATGCTGGAGTTGTTCTCAGCATTACATCATTCAAGCAGTGTTCAGTGTCCAACCAAATAGCTAATTCTATGTGGGTCAAAAATAGATGGAAATGTGATATTTGTGGTTCAGCCTGTGCTTGCTTTTTTTGTCTTAGCAAAGAACTGATTTCATTTTTATATACTGCTCTATTCTCTACTGTGACTTAAAAACACAGTATAGGGACTTTAAAAAGAGAATCTGTTATTTCTAGTGGCCCAAAATGGATATTTAAAAGAGCCTAAAAGCAAAATATAATGCCATTTACTGTAGTGCTGCTTTCAATACAATTTAGGTATTAAAGATATATACTGTCTTTTTTTAAACTGCTTAGAAAAGTAATGTCTATTATGAAAAAAATTAAATACATAAAATAAAAGTAATTAATTAGTAATCTCCAAAGCCAAAGACAATCATCATTGACGCTTTGGGAATATTTTGCTTTTTTTCTACAGTGGTCAGAATTACACCTGTCGGTCACATAGAGCCAATATTCAGAAAGGTCCTACGTGTGATTTGAGGCTCTACTGTTGCTGGCTTGGAATTCTTGATTTTTTTTTTTTTTTTGAGAGGTTTTTGCTACAGGGTGTGTGCACTTACCAGAAAGACAGAGACAGAGAGACAGAAAGCGAGAAATCATTCCCCATGGGGGATGGCCACGCCACAGACCCTTCTCCTCCATTCTCCTCTCGGGATCTTGGGCATGCACGCACATGTGCCTGTAGTGAATTTAAGCCACCGGGTCTGGGACTCGAACCGCAGTCAACTACCTGGGAGTCCAGTGACATAGCCATTATGCCAAGTGCTGGTCCTTTGGAATTCTTGATTCTTGAACTAGGGATATTGCATTTTCATTTTGCACTGGGTCCTGCAAATTATATAACTAATTCCGTCTGTAGTCTGCAGACACACACTAATTATATATGTAGATTTAAATCTGTGTCATTAAAATACTTTGTAAGGGACTAGCAGGTGGCATGATGGTTAAGGTACTCCCACAGAGCTGACCATGGTTTGAGTCCTGGACCTAGCGGTTTAGTTTCTTACTTTTTTTCTCTTTTTCTTTCTCTCTGTCTTTGGTGAGTGTATGTGCCCTGTAGCATATTAAGAAATAATAATAATAAGTAAATAATTCTTTAAAAAATTCTTTGTAAATGTTATATTTTTCTTTTTTTCAGAGAGAAATTTTTGGTACAGGGCATATATACTCACTGGAGAGACAGAGAGAGAAAGCGAGAAATTTCCCCCAGGGAGGATGGCCGCGCTGCAGTCGTCTCTCCTCTATTTTCCTTTTGGGATTTTGGGCATGCACGCACATGCACCCGGCATGAGTTTCAAGCTGGGTCTGGGACTAGAACCATGGTCGACCATGTGGGAGTCCAGTGCCTTAAACTACACCACTTGCTGGCTCCATAAATGTTATATCAATAGTTTTAAAACCTTATCTGTTTCTTACATGAGCGAGAAAGACAGGAAGAGATAGAGAGATAGCACTCCAACAGGGTATTGATGCCACTATACAACCCCAGCCTTCGACCAGCCCTGATCGTGGGCAAGGGAATACCCAGTGTACTCCAAGAAGTCTCTGGACTTCAACTGGGAACCTTCCTATGCAGGACTGCCTCACAGAATGTTGCGTTTTGCTGCTGCACCATCTGGCCCCATACTTTTTTTTTTTAGAGAGAGAGATTTTTGCTACAGGGTGCGTGTGTTTGCTGGAAAAACAGAGAAAGACAGAGACAGAAAGTGAGAAATAACCCCTCAGGGGAGATGACCGTGCTGTAATCCCTTCTACTCCATTCTCCTCTTGGGTTCTTGGGCATGCACGCACACACACTTGGTATGAGTTTTAAGTTGCCAAGTCCGGGACTCGAACCACAGTCCACTACATGAGAGTCCAGCGACATAATCATTATGCCATCTGCTGGTCCCCCAGATAAAATTTTTTTAAGTAAGCTTTTTTTTTTTCCCTTAAATGAAGTAACATATCTACAGGAAAAAAAATCTCAAGTGCGCTGTTTGATCTTTACAGATTATTTAACGTCAACCTGGACCAGCTCTCTGGCCAATGAAGTAAAAGGGAAACAATCTAAAAAATCTTTTAGTTTAGATGGAATAATTACATAATGGAAAGAAAGTAAGAGATAAGAGAATAATATTCTGCAAAGGCACAGAAAGAATTGAGGGGATAAGTAGTGATAAAAGGATGGCACATTAAAATTCATGAGGAAATGCCAGTTAAGTTCCATGAATAACAAAGCGATTATTATGCAGGATCAGGTTTTTCTTTCATCATTACAGAAAGACACAAAATCATTATCGTGATCTGTCATGTGTTTTTCTTTTGTTGCTAGGTGCTGGGACAGGCCTATTAAATGTTCTATGTTACCAGGGAGGAACGTCACAGTGGTGAGTAATGGTGGTCGCGACTTAGGTAGCTTTCTATGGCCCCAATTGTTAGTGCATTTAGACCAGGGGAAGTGAACAAATGGGAAAGAAAGAGAATGGCTGGGTGGGCATTATCTTGTGATTACAAAGAGCTGAGTCTATTTTTAACCCTTCTCCTTCCTTCATATTTTACACCTGCCATTTCCAAGGTCAGATAGACAAAGCAGGTATTGCCTTGGGAGCCTCCTTGGTCAATGCAATGGGGACTACAGTTAATTTCAAAAGGGGTAATATAGGGACCAGCAGTTAGCATAATGGCTATGTCGCTGGACTCTCAAGTGGTCGACTGTGGTTTGCGTCCCGGACCCGGTGGCTTAAAACTCACACAGGGCACGTGTGCATGCGTGCCCAAGAGGAGAAGGGAAGAGGAGGAGGGATTGCAGGCTGTCTCTGTCTGGAGAGCGCACATGCCCTATAGCAAAAACCTCTTAAAAAAAAAAAAAACAGGGGTAATACATGCAACCTGAGGAAGGATATTAATATCAGGAGAAAAACTATTACATAGAAAATTACAATTCTATAAAAATACAAACAGCGAGGTTAAAATTTATTCACATTTTAATTCTAATATGCAAAAAAAGTATGTATTTCTTTTTATTTTCTATGATGGGTCAAATTTTCCTTATAAATATCCACTTTGCTTCACAGGGGCAGGGGATAAAAACAACCCAAACTTTAAACTTGTCAACTCAAAGTAACATCCTTTTTTAGTTTAAATAAATAGTTGTTTTTACAAAACCCTATTGACTGCCTGGGTGTGGTTGACTGCCCTGTTTCAAGACTGAGGACATCTTAGGGGTCTCCATTTCTTCCCACCAAGCTGTGGCCATTTAGGGTATCGGTTGCGTTCCCTCCCTGACCCAGCTGGCTATTGTTAAAATAGATGGCTAAATCTCAGAGCTAGGGGAGGGTATATACAAATATCATGAATCAGGTGTAGCCCATTTGAATTACTTTTAAAAGCCCTGGCAGTGGCGGGTGGAGTATTAAGTGGAGCAGAGCAGGGGAAGAGGGAAAGCCACAAATTCCTTGGGGGGTCTCCATTGGCCCACCTCTTCCTGCATGTAAGTTTACCCTATAATAACCTCCTCCTGCTGTTTATTATTGGAGTCATCTTTTGTTTTTTGGTCTCATTGATTCTATTCTTTTTTTTTATTATTTTTTGGAGAGGTTTTTGCTATAGGGCGTGTGCACTCACCA